TGGTTTGTTAGGGTTAGTTTTGTTTTTACGAGTTGATCACGGATTGATATCAGTTTGAGAAGCATTGAAAACTCGTAAAAGCAAAACTAACCCTTACAAACCAACTATAGAGAATTAATCTGATGCTCTCTAGTGACTTGCTACAGGACCGATGGAGTTTCCTGGTGTTCTAGTGAGAAGTCGTGACCAGTGAGGTACATCCAGTCACGTGTGAGGATGGACGTCCCACTGATGACATTGGTTGGGGTCGCGCTAAATCAAGAATTGGTAGAAGTTGGAATTCGTGCACTGGCCATTGAATCGGGTCCCAGTGGCTGAATGGTATACGAGCTTACCTTGTAACCGGAAGGTCCTGGGTTCGAACCTTGGCGGTGGATGCGTACTGCCGATGATTCTCAGAACGAGGATGAAACAGCTGGCTGTCCAGTACTCTGGTGCTGGTTTTCAATGGTTCTCTAACTGATATCAATCCGTGATCAACTCGTAATACCATATATATATATATATATATATATATATATATATATATATATATATATATATTGTAGAGTAAGCCGTGATTATAAGTATGCTTCAACTGAAAACTTAGTGGCTTTTGAAAATCTCCTAATAACAAGTAGAAAGACAAGAGTTTTATTTGTACAGAATTGCTGCGATATTGAAATAGAAAATTCCAATGTCTTGTTTGGTAAATGATTCTTATTATTTCAATGCTGAACTCATCCGCATGAGTTCTCCGAATGTAACTTTGGAGTTATTTATTTCATTGTCAATCATATTTTTACAAAATAACTTTGATGTACGTCTAGTTTTCACTCAGTGCCTAGCGTTTGTAAACAAACTACTATCGATTAGTCTAACATATTTTCACTGTGGAGACAATCAAGAAGACTTGTATTTCGCATAAGCCAATTTAATTGACAACACAGAACTTTGCATAAAAGTATGTACAGGCTAGTGAATCTTTTCAAGATCCAGAATGAAATTGGAGTATTGTGAACGATCTACAATCATGTCACAGAGATTTCAATCAAGAATACTTAGTATGCCGAGGACTAGAGACATGTAATCAACACTTCCCCTGATGCTGGCTGGGACCAAAGCCAACCACTCGTAACTCTATTCCAGCCTAATCGTACTTCAGCTACTATTGACGACTGACGAAGGCAGTGGTTCGGTATACGTGACACAGTCGATAGAGCTTTGCTTCATTGTTGCTAACCATGTCTCTCCACATAATGAGTGACTGAGTCAAGGTAACTATAGTAACAAAAACTGTAAAATGCCTTTAAGGGCTACGATCACAGCCATGAAGTAGGACGGAAGGGAGTGTTGAAATGTGCATGCACTGATTGACTGGTAACAGGATATCAGGACTGCGTTATAAATGACGCAAGCTGGGAACTATCAATCAAGCTTCTTATATTCGTCCACCAATGTCTGAGGGGTGGTGTAAGTACACAAATAAGTGGATTGGTACACATATTCAGTCATTTTTCTAATTGTCCTTAAACTAGGGTGTAGATTAGTTCTGTAGCAATGGATAAAGTTGAAATGGATGCTAAACATACTTTCTCAAGGTGTTCGGAAATCTGTATCTCGCCAACTTTTCTATAGCAACACGACCTTTCTGTGTTAATAAGTCAATCCCTGAGAGATTCGAGTCGACTAGAGTCACATTGCATGATTTCGTATGGAGTGCATTGATTAGCATAACATACTTTTTCAGAACTCCCTTAGCAGCCAAACATTAGAATGACAACTACTAATCGACGACGTCAAATCCGCTTCAGGTCAAGAAATATACCTAGTAAGAGTTGTCAGTATTCCAGAATCTGCCATAGGATGAACCTTTGATCAATTTCTGAACCTTTATTTTTATTTAAATTTTAATTATGAATATATCTGCTAACAGGGGCCCAAGAGGGCTCCCCATCGCAACACCGTCGATTTGTTTGTATCTATTGAAAACTTTATTACTCTATTTAATCATATTCATCCAAATATCCGAGTGACTTCCGAACTCGAATTGAATAACAAACTCGGTTTCCTGGATATTACAATGACCAGGAGAGATGATGGAACGATTCAGCGATCGATCTATTTTTCGTAAACAGACATGGAGTGGACAATATCTTCATTTCACCAGTTTTCTTCCTATCCAGTATAAACGTTCCCTAGTGAAATGTTTGTTCTCAAGGGCCCGAAAAACATGCACGAGTGACACATTGATGGATGAGCTTCGACATATACATTCAGTTTTATTAGCTAATGGTTATCCAGAGAACTTCATCACTTGTCACAGTAAGAATAGATAGACCACATCTAGAAAAGACAGCTTCTGTACCAAAGAAAGCTATCTTTATTAACCTACCATTCAAGGGTGACCAGATTATGCAGTTGACAGCTCAAGGACTTCGGTCAGTCATCAAACGCACATTCTACGCTGCATCTCCTTTTCTCACATGCCGAACATTTTCAATCCCTGTAGCTACAATTAAAGGGCCAAATTCTGTGAACTCTACTTCAAACTGTATCTACAAGTTCACCTGCAGTTGCGGTGACACCTATATAGGTAGAACCAATAGAATGTTCCAATGTCGTCGAAAAGAACATGTTCCAAAGTGGTTACTAAAACATATAGAAAATCCAAATACAATTAATCTGAATAGAAATCCAGCATCATCCATTGCAAAACACTTATTAATGTCAGGTCACAAAATCAATATTAATGACTGTTTCACAATTATTTCACATATCTCTAATTCAAGGTTACTGAAGGTGATGAAAGCACTTTGGATTAATCACATACAGCCTAAACTGTGTGTACAAAAAACAGTAGACTTCAACTTTCGCCTACCAAGGACTACTTGACCTATTTAAATATGATTGGTCATTAGTATTTACTTTTGTTTTCATATAACTGAGTAATTGTTATGATCTTTATTTTATTATTAGTGTTAACCATGTTAGTTGTAAAGCGGTTGTAAAGAAACTACGAAATGATGCTATCATCTCGCGAAATTTGTCTTCTAAATGCCTTATTCACACTAATGATAACTCACTTTATGGCAGTCAATAATTTATCCCTATGAGTTCTTATTACTTCGCCTCGTTTTAGATTAGAAATAGCTTTTACAGTCAAGGCTAGAACTGAAACATGAGTTTAATTCAACCCAAGAACCGGATGAAGGCTAGTTGAACTACCTCAAATTTCTCTGCTAAATGTCCCAATCGTTTCACTTGAGAAGTTAACAAAGTTCTAATCCTTTCCAAAGATCGGTTCACTCACTCACCACTTATTGGTTCTTTTCCCCTCATATTCTTTTCTCTCAAACTCCCAACTTTCAAATACACTTTATCAATATTCTATTTTGAACGATGTCTTTGTTTTCAAGCGCCATTTAAGTGCTCAAATTTTTAATAGTCATCATTTATGAGCGATGCTCATTACTTACTGTTTTTAGACTACATAATTTACTATTTCTTTTGGTACATAACTTCATGTTTTGTTGCCAACTGTAATATGAACAATTGACCGAATAGGCATCTCTCTGAGCTTGACAGTAAGTACTGCTGTGAAATTAGGAGACGAATATTCTTTGCTGACTCATGTCTTCTAAATTTATATAAAGAAAGGCTTGTCATGTACTTGCAATCTACGTCCATCTAGTCTCAGGTACATACGTGCACATGTGTCGTAGAAGGAGCGGGAATCTCCTTTGCAGCATTTGTCTTCAGTAGCTTATAGCAAAGCAGTTTATCCGTTGACTTGACATCGGCAGTCACCAACCAAATGAAACTTTTCTCCCTATGTTTGGAGTTAGTACTAACCTAAAACATCCAATTACTTAAAGAAAATCTTAAGTGACGGTTACCGTCGTCACTTCTTCGACGACATGGGACACCAATGATATTCTCAAAAGGCTGTCATGATTAACTCAATTCCCTTACTGGAGGATTGAAACCATCCGACTGTGTGACCAAATCCAAGTGTCCGGTAGCGTCTCACAGTATTCAAACTATACTTCACCTGAGCTATGGTAAGTGAATGCTTGAGTGGAGATGACGAAGAGACAACTATGAGTATCATAATCTTTCTTTATTCTTACGGATCCATTCGACCAGACGGAACACATACGACAGTCTACTAGGATTTAATCGATCACTAAATTTTGTCTCTTCTTGAGTTAAGTACTATCGTCACATTAACAAGTCAACGAGAACTAACAAGAGGTCTTCTTTACACTTGTAGTCTGACACTTTCAGATTCGCCGTTATTAGACAGGTGGACTACAAGTGAATAACTACACTTGAATCTTTGATGCGTGTCTCAGAGATACAAAATGTATCTGAAGCCCAACTCTTAGCTAATAAGGCCTTCTCTCTCTCTCATTTGGAATAGGATTCTAAAAATGAGAGCTGCAATATGAAAATGTTAGTGTGGTTTCAAGAGACTATGGAGGATGTTTCTCTGGCTCAGGTCACTAATAATATTTATAGAGCTAATCAAACACGAACTGTTTTGGGGGATAGTAGTAAAGGACAGACATTTTGTAAACTCCTCTTCCTAGAGACAGGAGTTGGGCACCATAACTAGCATGTTTTTGTGTTATTAGATGGTTGGAGGCGATTGGCAGGTTTCGGGCTAGTTGGGACTCATCAGCAAGGCGTATCTGAAACCTCGAAGGAACTCATATCCCTTCTGAAATTCGAACCCGCGTCACCTAGTGAGTACTACAGTCAGACTGATAGAATTCAGTCTGCACCAAAGATAGGACTACACACACACACACACATTACACTAGTTACTGACTAGTGTCCAACCAAAAATGCATTTTGTGTTCCTGATCAGATTACCTATCCACCTACCCACCACTGTCTAGCATGAAAAGACAAAATGAATTGGAACCTGAGATTATAAATAGACACAAAAATCTATTAAAGTACATAAAATTTTCTATTCACATTAATGAACAATTCGATAAGAAGGACGTTTTTTTTTAAAAAAAAGGTGGTTATAAATACAAACTGTAGTATGTTTTGTGTTGTAATTAGTCTATCCATGCATAATGAAGTGAGCTATATTAACAGTTAAAATCGATCTGTCATCATTTTGTAAGAGCAAAACCAAACAAAACAAAAACAGAGAGCAATAGTAAAACTGTCTATTCTTCACGATTACTTTCATTATTCATGTCCATGCTACTTTGAGGATGAAGATCTTCGAATAGATCACTGACATAATTAAGTGGATAACGTATTTCAATAGGTAAGGCTAAATAATCTTCATAGGAGATGACTTTATCATGACTTGGTTTAGATTTTTCATATTGTGAAATATCCAAGTCATACCATGTTATAGATGTAGGGCTATCGCCATCATTACTATTATCATTATTATTACTATCATTATTATTGTTATCATTATCAAATGTAGATACAACAGAAGTGGAATAACGGATATTTGCATGAGATTTTAATTTTCTTAAATGTTGTACACACTGAAAAGCAAAAGAAATATCAAAATAGAATAAATAAAACACATAAAGTTTGAGTACAAATCACTGAAAACAAGAGAGCTCTGGCTGGTGGTTTCGTCATTTAGTTAGGGACTCTTCATCAGTACACACCCATGATCCTACCAGGGATCGGACACAGGCGATCTTTAAATTAAAAGGTGATTTAACACCTAAAACTTCTAGTTTTTTTCTGTTTTTTTTAAATAAACGCGTACTTAATAAGCTGATGCATCACTTATAACTGTCACTATTCTTTCTCCTTAGGTCCAGAGTGGAACAAAGTGCCTCAACAGCACATCTTCGTTTCACTGTGTTATCTGTAGTCTTTTTTTAGCTGGCTTCACAATTACGTATAAGCTCTCATCGCTTCCTTACACAATCTAGTCCACATCACTCTCTGATGCCTTGGGCACGATGTCACTCAACGGTTATCTCAGCATATTGTTCAATCCATCTCCATTTTCTTCGACGTACATCTTGAGCAATAGGTTTTTCGTTGGTCTGCTGCTTGCCAGACTTCCTTGTCGCCAATGCTTTCTAGCCAACTGATCCTCAGTATGGAGAGAAGTCAGATGTTGATGATAAAAGCCTGAAGCCTGTTGGGAAACCTTTTGATGCATCACTGACTGTGAAGCATTATTTGAGAATAGTTGTGTTTTTTTTAAATTGAGTCTGAGAATATATATAACTAGAGACATTCACACACACACACTGTTGTATAATTCTCTGCATCGTTTAAATTTGTAGGATACGTTGACAATCCTGAGTATTTATCATTCAACCAGTAAGTAGGTGATGTATTCATGTGTCATTCCACCTAATTTGATCTAAATTATATAGGCTGTCATCATAAATTTTATGGCATAGAAGACTTTTAAGTTTCAGGCGAACTAGGAAAATAATTCAGACGAGGAATTATTTCAATTTGCTTAACTTCACCTTATTTTCTAGTTTAAACATTCTCAAAGAAATCAACGAAGAGTATCAAGTAACTAAACTTCGTGAAACACCCTATGATGATAAAAGTAGGAATGGATACTTGAATATCAATGAGATACTCACTGGCGACTGGTCCTATTCAGGTAGGTAGTTACCTGGGGTTCTAGTGGAAAGTCGTGACCATTAGGGTGCAGCAGGTCAGGTATGAGGAGAAAGACTCGCCGAAGACATTGGCTAGCGGTTGCGCTATATCGTGAATTGGCAGAAGTTAGAATTCATGGGCCATTGGATCAGGTCCTGTTGCTTAATGGTCTACGCGCTAGCCTTGTAGCCAGGAGGTCCTGGGTTCGAATCCTGGCTGTGGGTGCGTACTGCTGAAGAGTCCCAAACTAGGCTGATGAAACAGCTGTCCAGTACACCATGCAGGTTTTCCAATGGTTCTCTAACCAATGTCAGCTCATGATGAAATCCTGTAACCGAATAAATGGATTAATTTTAAAAAGATTATGGCACAGATACTCGGTGCATGTGTCACCAAAAGTATTTCCAACAGGCTTCAGACTTTTATCAACAGCTACGTTCGCCCTCTTATTGAAGATCAGACGGCCAGTTAGAGAGGATTAAGAACAAAGAACTCTGTCACCAAACAAACCAACAAGCTATTGCCTAACAAATATACTAGTGAAAATGGAAACAGGATCGGGGACGCACTGAGAAGAACCGTTGGGTGGCATGGCGAGTCAGGTCCTCAAGTTGGACTAGAAGAGGAAACGATGAGTTGGGCTGAGCGTCAGACAGTAACATGCAGGTGATCGTAAAGCCAGCTATAGACAGCTGCAGGAAACAGGACGAAATGGAGATATGCTGTTGAAAGCCTATGTTCCACTCGGAACCTAAGGGGAATGAAAAAATTGTGTGCAAAAATAATCAATGCATAAGTTCAACAAGAAAGAAAAAACCTTACTCTTCTTGCTTGCATAGATTTTCTGTAAGCATCTGGACGCACTCTTCGGATTGGATCCTTATAATCAGTATTTAATGAATCGGAAATGAACAACGACGTGGAATCAATGCTTGTTGACTGTTCAATAATAATAGGATTCTCATCAGTTCCTAACACATTCACGGTACTCTTTACAGAATTATTACAACTTTCGGTCTAATATGAATTGAAAACAAATTAGTAAAAATGAAAAAGGATTATCCATAAAAAAAGAATGTTTAAGCAAACTGTTATTCATTTAATTCAACTTTAGATTTTCCCGTCGACTGATTGGACCGAAGTGCTCAATCCCAAATAGGACGAAATGCTCATCCTGGATTCCACTGCTACTCACCATTCACCAATTCACTTCTAGTTAATTACATGCCCAGACATCGTCGAAGCATGTGCACAAGAAGCCGACATGTCAACCTGAGACCGAGCACTTCGGTCCAATCAATCTATGGACGGGAAAATCTAAAAATTCAATTAAATAATTAATATGACCCGTTGCACAACAGGTGGCCAGCTCTCGTGGCCCAATTGGTCTAGTGGATAACTCCTTGGCATTTGAAACTATGGCCACTGGGTTCGAGCCTCGGTGCTGGGAACATTATCACTCACTGACTGGGGAATGCAGGTACATCCAGTTGCATGACGAGTCCCGAATAGGACGAAATGCGCATCCTGGATTCCACTGCTAGTCACCATCTACCAAATAACTTCAAACTGTTATCCATTTGAACAAAGCAAAAGCAACAACAACGCAAATGTAGTAGGTAAAACGGATCCGTTGTTCACTTTGTCATTGTCTGATTTACTACATACAACCATAAATAATGTCAGTTAATAGTTTTATTACAATTTTAACAAACTTTACCACATTGGAGATAAAATGAAGAAGAAGAATTAAGCAGAATCGTGGTGTATAGATGAATTGAGATGTTAAGAGTTGGTAAGATAAGAAAATAATAGCTCAGATGGGCGTCGCCTTCAAATCCGAATTCAAGGACGTAAATTAGCTGTAAAAAGGCACGATATATATGTATATTCTTTCATATGGATACATGTAAATAATTACGGACACCAATATATATATATATATATATATATATATATATATAAGCTTATATACACAGAATATTCTGGAATAATCGTCATTAACAATATTGGTGTTTCTAAATACTATCGATTTGTTGAGATCAATAAAATTACAGTTCAAGAAAGACACTTAAGTTATAATAAGCACAAAAATATAATAGTAAATAGAGTATAAAATAAAATTAAGGAAACTTCCACAAAAAATTGAGGATCATTAAAACCTTGATGGCCAAAGTAAGGACAGTGTCTGAACCAACTTCTTCTGGACACATAAGTTAGGTTTCTTAATGTATATCCCAACGGCCTCAGCAATATGTAGTAGACGAATTCTAAAGGTAAGGATAAGATTAGTTAGTATACGGTAGATGACTCTGAAAGCCGCCTAGTTAACATCAATCTTGTGTTCTGTATCCACGAGATGAGGGAGATAGAATAGAGTTATGAATGAATTTCGTTTGTCCCTTACTTAACCACGCAGGATGGTGTTCGGAAATCCAACGATAAACACACCTAATTATACGGCCTATGTAACTGGCTCCACAGGAACAGTTAAATTGGTAGATACACATAGAAGAGGCACATGACAAGAAAGTTCAAATTCCAAGTAAATAAAGATGTAAATTAACAACCAATCACGACAGTGATTGTCAGGCGATACAATTATATCATTCGTGGAGAATTCAAATAAATTTATTGCATACTAAAACCTGCGCTGAAGATTTTGTCTAGAAGGACGACGAAATCTTCGCTCCTCAGCGAACACAACTAAATCAAAATATGGAAATATTGGTTTCAAGTTAGACGACAGATTGACATCAGTTAGAAAACCATGGAAAATCAGGCAGTATTAGACAGCTGTTTCGTCCTAATTTGAGACCCATCAGAAGTGCACACCCATGATACCACTGTAATTATATATATAATGTAACTGAAGTTTGACGAAAAAGTTGGGAAGTAGGATGGCAACAAAAACTGTGAATTCACGTACGATAATCAATCAGAAAGTTTTTAGCAAGTATCAGACATAAAGCATGACATTGAATAAATTAGGATTGTAACCAAGTAAAAGTGGAAATAAATCAATATTTACATTTAATAAAAGATGATGTAATCATTTGAGGTTAAAAGCCGAGTTACCATGATAGAGAAAGACCTATTACAGCCTCTTTTTATAAATACATGAGTAACATTTTAATTGTTTGATAAGGATATGATCTCTGTGAACTTCAAGAGGCTTGAACTTGATTGTTTATTTATTGTTTTGAAAGGATTCAAGCTAACTACCTGATTTTTCAAGTGTTGGTTTGTAGAGATTTGATTGGTTACAGGATTTTCATCATGAGCTGACATTAGTTAGAGAACCATTGGAAAACCTGCATGGTGTGCTGGACAGCTGTTTCATCAGCCTAGTTTGGGACACTTCAGCAGTACGCACCCACCGGGATTCGAACCCAGGACCTTCTGGTTACAAGGCGAGCTCGTAGACCATTAAGCCACTGGGACTCGATCCAATGGCCCGTGAATTCTAACTTCTGCGCTATGTCGTGAATTGGAAGAAGTTAGAATTCATGGGCCATTGGATCGGGTCCCAGTGGCTTAATGGTCTACGAGCTCGCCCTGTAACCAGAAGGTCCTGGGTTCGAATCTCGGTGGGTGCGTACTGATGAAGAGTCCCAAACTAGGCTGATGAAACAGCTGTCCAGTACTCCCAGGTTTTCCAATGGTTCTCTAACTAATGTCAGCTCATGATGAAAATCCTGTACCTGATTTTTCTTTATTCCTTTACGTTCCCAGTGGAACATAGAGCTTCAAGCTAGAGGCTTGAAGATTCCTTAGCAGTGGTATTTATTTTTTACGGGATGGGGTTGCTAGCCTCATGTCCGACTTTCCCTCTTTACCAGTTTTATTACTGGCTTAGCGAGGTAAGAGAGTGCGTCGACTGGGGATCGAACCCCAGACCATATACGTGGTTGGCCAGCATTCTACCAATGTGCCACCGACGCATGTCTACCTGATACTCTCTGTCAATCAAGTGTTTTGCATCAGTGCTGCTCGCTCTTTTTTTATTCGAGAAATTTTAATCGCAATATTTTTATATTTTACAAAACTAAAATTCTAATTCATCTATATACTATGATCATTTATAATTACTGTCGCACACTTTATCTCTATGATGAACTTTGTAATATTAGAAATTGTAATGAAACTATTGGCTTTCATTAATCGTGTTGTAAACAGTCGACAATGGATACTGACGAAATGAACAATAGAGCCGTTTTATTCTGCTCCATGTGGTGTTATTATCGTTTTGAAAAATAAATTCATTTTTTACACAATTAGAAAATAAAAAGACAAATTGAGCGAAGAAATATATTCCTTCTCAAATTAGTTCCTCTTGAAGATGAAATATATAATCGTGATTCTTATTGCCGATATGTCGATGATACATTATTTTTGACAAAAGAAAAAAGAAAATAAACGAATTCAAATAAAAAATGACTCTATCTCGTTTTTGGACATCTTAATGGCTAAACAAACGAACAAACGGAACAATGTGTAGACGAATGCGTCGGAAACCTACTTCAACTGGACAGTAGTATACTCACTTCCTAAGTTTTGTACCTCTACAATACAAACGTAATCTGGTTAGATGTCTGGTTCACCAGGCTAAAGTTATCTGTTCAAATGGAACACTGAACGAAGAACTCGGTAATATATTCATGATCTACTAAGTAGAAACGGGTGTCTGACAAAATTCTTGAACAAAAACATGAACTCAGCAAGAAAAGCGCCAAAGGTGTCCACAGTTTCCAAGAAATCAGTCTTCCTAAGATAGCAATTCACAGATGTTGTCAATAGTGAAATCTTATCACTACGTCTGAGAAGGGCCTTCGAAAGGACTTTCAATGCAGCTAAGTTATGCTGTATATTCACTAGCCAACCAATACTCAGTTTAAGAAACAAAGACAAACTGCCCTGCTTCGCTTTTTCCATGAGTATTTACCAGTTTAACTGCTCCTGGGGAGCCAGTTACATCAGGCGTATGATTAGACAAGTCCTTCATAGAATTTTTGAACAGCATCCATCTTAGTTAGTCAAATGTCTGAATAAAGCTAAACGCAGGCCATCCCGTCGATACTGAACATCAAACAGACTCTAATAAAGCTTTTAAAATTATTTTTCGTATTTCACCCAATCTTTCTCACTCTCTACGAGTACTAGTTTTATGTACAGCAGAGGCAATCGGAATTCATCTGAACAAGCCAAATCTGTGTTCAAAAGAAATTTGTACAGTCCATTTCTTTGCCATGGCCAACTGCATAATGTGTATTAAGTTCTATAAGCGATTTTCCACTCCCCTTGTAACTTTGTTATTTTATTATGTTTACAGTTCTAGCTAATTCTATTAACTTTTTTGTATTTTAAGGGATTTTACGGAGTCATCCTGTTCTTCCTAGTCACTATTATTTTGCAAATTTCTTGATTATGTAATAACTCGTTGCTGACTCCTACTAATTAACTTACGCGTCAAGGAAACAAACACTTACAATAGTGCCATTACCAGACATCTCCTTGATACGGGTCATGAGGTGGAAATCACAAATTCTTTTAAAATTATCAACAGACAAAAAACTCAAGTTTGCCGAAGCAATCTCCATCAAACGCCTAAAACCCGATTTATGTGTTCAGAAAGAAGCAGTTTCCTTGCCCATGCTGGTAACTGTATGTCTTCACTCTCTCTCTCTTTCATTTGGTTACGCAATCTCTGGCCTTAATTCCACCCCTCTTGATATGATGTAATTTTGCTTTCTTTTTCTGTGATTTGAGTTGAACTCAGTACACTGTCACCCAATTTATTAGTTACTCACCATCTTACGCATCTCTCGTCTTTATTACGTAACTCCTTTATGATTGTATGCATGCATTTACTTTGTTTAAACTTGAACTCCCTGTGCAAAAACTATATAAGCGTAATTTTCTGAGCACTGTTCACAAAGTCTAGAACCTCCTATCAACTGACATCATGTAAAATTTGTATGTTAAAACTTCTCTATACATGAACTTAATAATAATAA